CCACAACACCACATCCTCTCTAGCCACTCAAAGAAACCAAATCCTTATCCAATCCCTCGCAACCCTCACAGCTCAAGCAACTGAAGCTGATGAAAACCTTACCTACACCATCACCCAACTACAAACCATCCTTCACAATCTCCATCAATTACCTGCCTCCATCATCTCCCAAATTCCTCAACCCCAACCTCAATCCACTTCATCTGTCGATGAAACTCTTGCCACCCTCACCACCCAAATGGCCACCATACAAACCACCCTCACTCAACTACCCGCAACCATACTTTCCCAAATCCCACAACAAACTCAAACCCCACCTCCCTTTACAGGACCTTCCTATGAAGCAGCCTTCTCATCCTTCACTGCAGAGGTGAGGGATCTTCTTGCCAACCTTCCCCATCCTCCACCATCTACTACAACCTCTGTGTCATCTCCAACACCACCATCAAGCACATATTTTGCCACCAGAGCCGATCTTCGGGCTCTGTCCAAGGCACTAATCTCATCTTTTAATGAGATAAGTGCAAAGTTTGCCGCCTGATCTATTGAACCCACCAGAGCGTTAAGGAGGAGCCTTCAACAACAACAAGACAAAACAAACACTCTCCTTCGCACCATGGAACAACGACGCAACAAAGATCAGGTGTACTCTCATCGACCACATACGCATGTGGAAGAAAAACAGATCGAGAGCCTCCTGCTCCTCAAGCCGCCCCTTAAAACACAGACGACATGAAGATCCAGACCCCGATGATCAAGGTCTTGGACCTCATAAGAGGGAGAAAGAGGTGGCGGCTACACAACATACAGAATCCGCTGCACCACAGTAACCATCACCACCTCAACAACCACCATCAACCCAACAAACCCAAGCAAGGGAACCAGAGGCCTTGCCCTTTGATGATGAACAGAATATTCAAGTTCCCTTAGCCACAACACCAGACCCCATCATGTTGAATTCATCAACCAATGAAGAGCCAACCACCCCTCCAAACCAAACCTTAACTTCCGCACCCACAATAAACTTACCCTTAACCCCTTCTCAAACACCTCGCACAACACAACCCTTCACCCTTTCCACACAACCAGAACCTACAACAACCCAACCCTCGCCTCAATGACCCCAAACCCCTACAGAAACCCATGCACCAGAAACTACCCAACCAACCAAAGAAAACTCACCCTCTACCCATACACAACCCCAAACCGAAACACAACCCTTAACCCATCAACCTGTGGTGCATGCGGACATTCCCTCTTCCTCAAGGCAACCTCCACAAGGCCTGGTAGATGAGATAATACAGAGCATGGAGTCGATGAGGAGACGACCTCAATTGCCGCCCACGGAACCAGTAATGATGGAAAATATCTATCAATACATGTATCAAGATCATGAAGAAAGCTTGTCAACCAATCCTTCATTCCTATCGCCTGAGTCTATAAACCTTCTACATCATCGTTTCATAAGACAAACTACTCAAGCACCTCAAGCTGTCTTTTCGAACGATGGAATAAGAAGAATCATAGACTTGAAAATAAAGTCATTTGCCAACAGAGCTATTTGATACATCGAGTTCAGCGTGGAGAGAGCCCATGGGGTAGTTAGCATATTCAATGAAAACGACCTCATCAACCTAAATCCATATGACTTGATTGAGTTATATGCCTACACAGCTCAAAGGCAAGATCATGGGATACGATTTGGAATGRCAAACCGAGCGATAGTAAAAACAATGGAGTCCCTGGTAAAGCTCAGAGCCAAAACAGATTTTGAAATTGCTTTTAGGCTAGGCATTGAGAGATTATCCTACGCTCCTCCAAACGAAGACTTCCAGGGCCTGCAGGAGATACGTTCTGCTTCAGTTCTTACTCGACCTGAACTTGGACTTGTTTACAAGAATGAGTTCGGGGTTAAAAAGTTCTTTAGAATGACTGAAGCCTTCAAGTATTCAATAGATACACTTGAATGGTTTCAGAAAAACATTAGAGAAAGACTGGGCAGAAACCATGT